GAATCGATTAAGGCTTACATAAGAATTATCCCGTCCTTTCAGTACTTTCGATATTTTTAAATTCAACAGGTTAAACAATATACAGGGTGTACCATTGAAAACTTTGCACCCGGTTTATTTTGAACTACGTTCCAAAATATTAAAATTGCCGCGACACGTCCATTTTGTTTTCGAGGGGGACACATTTTAGCGTTAAATACAGACTCGCCAGAACAACCCCCTTCGCGGGGGCGCATTCAATTTTAGAATCTTAAATGGCACTCTAGGTCGAGTGACACTTCATTCGAAAGTGTTTTTAATTCTGGTTGTCATCATGTAATTTTTTTTTCAATTTTAGTTCATCTGTTGAAAAAAAATTACTTATGCTTAGAAATAAAAAACAATTTTGTTGAAAAAAATTACATGATGACAACCAGAGTTAAAAACAGTTTCGAATGAGGTGTCACTCGACCTAAAGTGCTATTTAAGATTCTAAAGTTGAATGTGCCCCCGCGAGGGGGGTTGTTCTGGTGAGTCTGTATTTAACGCTAAAATGTGTCCCCCTCGAAAACAAAATGGACGTATAGCGGCAATTTTAATATATTGGAACGTAGTTCAAAATAAACCGGGTGCAAAGTTTTCAATGGTACACCCTGTATATTGTTTAACCTGTTGAATTTAAAAATATCGAAAGTACCTACTGAAAGGACGGGATAATTCTTATGTAAGCCTTAATCGATTCGGCAAATACTATTTCGAAATTTATTTCAGTATGTGGATTCAGTCAACGAACTCAGAAATTAAAATGATTTGATCAAAACCCTAATCAAAGTGTCAGCGCACCAGAGGCTTTTTGAAAGATAGTAGCGTTTGAGTGATGCTATCCAATATTTCGTGTTTTTTATGTGTATCTTCAGGCGCCATATTGGAACTACCACGAGAGGGTTAGAGAAGTGATACGGCTTGGAGGTAACTTTTGTAAATAACAGATCAATCGGATATAATGATCAACTTTAGTTACCTGTAATAGATTATAAGCGATTTTAGTGATATTGTGATCAGACTTTATAATTCAACCAGAAATAGTGTCATTTTAGTGATTTGGAATATTTTTTGAGGTTAGGTACGACTAGTGACTAGTTGGGTTCAAACGGATGTAGGAATTCGATTCAGTGATCCCAAAAATATAAAGATATGTTGGTTACACGTCATTCCTAAAAGTGTTATCTTAGCAATTTGCGCTACTTTTTTGAGGTTAGGCACGAACTCTGACTAGTTGAAGTTATATTGATATCAGAATTGGTTTTAGCGATCCCGAAAACATAAATTGTGGTGGTTAGACTGTGTTACTTATCATAGAAACGCATTATTTCAACGATTTGAAGTATTTTTAAGGTTAGCGACGAACAGTGACCAGATGGGGTTGAATGAATATTGAATTCGAAATCAGCAACCCCCAAAACGTATAGATATGGCGATTCAGTCTATAATACAGTATTTTTATGTTTCTTATCTATCAATATTGCTGATTAAACAGAATTTTCCATGATTGCGGACGCCATATTGAAACCGCCATGATGTTTTTTTAAAATCACCAGACGGCATTCGATAGAGTTTTTAAATACGAAGCTTTTGACACGTCGAACGTCAATATTGATGCATTTTTATTCTGGGCAGCCCACTGTGCCCGTTGACGTGAAACGCCCGATAT